CATAGGCTATATAGTAGTTACTCATGGGCATGTGTAAGCTCGGAGAAAAGTTCCGACTTTTATTAACTCGTCTGCTCAGGGCGTAAATCGGTAAGATATCGTTGGGCTCGCGTCGATTAGAAAACTTTTGTCGGGCGTCGCGTGCACGTGCATGCATCGCACACAACGTCGATCCTTCGGCGTCATCACTCGGTTTGGCAGCGCACGACGACGAGTTATACCTACCTGCCAGCTCAACACCTCTCGTCATCATCATCGTCGTCGTTATATGCAGGTAGTCATCGCAGCGAGGAAAACGGGCGAAATTCGTCGAAACAGGCAGCCGTTATAGAGCCTCGAGACAAGTCGTATTTTCCTTTTTTGCCGTTCAATATGGTATCTTTCTCTGGCCATCGGACACGTATAGCACGTACGTCACGACAAAGTATAAATTATTTCCCGATTCCATATGTGCGTGCCGATTTGCCATGCATGTCATTCGGTTTCGCGCATTATGTTGTCTTTCTCTCGTCACGATCTCCACGATGCCGAGAGTCTATGGCGTATGTGCGTGAGTGTGTGTGTGCTGTAGCTTGCACGAGATGATAGCCTCTCTCGAGCACGGATATGTGCGGTACGAGATTTTCACGCGTGCAGCTCGCGTGAATTTTCTCTCTCGGCGCGCTGAGCGAGCTCGCATGATCGCGAGAAACGTTTAGCCGCTGGCTTTGGCTTTTCTAGCGATTTAATTACGCGATTTGCACCTGTGTATATGTGTGCACCGTTTATTATTGCATCGGCTGTACATATATCGGATAGAAGGGGGTAATACGCGCTGCGTTTATCGGCAAAAAATCGCACGAAATACATATCTCTCTTTCTCTCTCACGTGTTATACGTAGCACGCGCTGGTATTATATGTACCCCGAAGAATTATCGATTTCACGCGGCATAGCAGCTCGGCTATTACGTTCCGTATACCTCGAAAAAAGCGAGCAAAGCAACAACAAAAACCAAAAAAAAATAAACTATATACATAATACGTATATAAAGCCAAGCTGTGCCGCGCGCACTCGTTATTCGCTCGAAAGAGAGAGAGAAAAAAGGGAAGGGAGCTGTGTGCGCATATATGAGGAAAAAGTAGCTGCTGAAGGGTATTAGCGAAAAGGCTCTCGCACTCTCCGAGGTGTGAGGGAGGTGTATTATATATTGTACGTGTGTGTGTGTGCAACCTATCATTATCCGCGCCACTTACCTAAACGCTTCCTTTGGCCTTTCGCTCGGCTATACGTGCGATGCGCGGCTCGCTATACACGATGAAACGAAACTACGCGCGAGAAGGGGTTGAAAGCTTTTATACGATATATGTATGTACGCGATACAGGCCGCGCACCGCCTCGCCTCGTACATATACGTGTGTAATTAGTCGACGTGTTATAATACGCAGAGCCGCTTTCGTATAGAGCTGAGTTTTGGCAGCGATTAGGCCGACATCGATCACGTGGGCCTGGGCTGAAAACAACGAATTCATTTCGCAGCTCTCCCTCTCGCTCTCGCCTTTAATTCTCTCGCTCCTGCTGCAGTGTCTTTTCTTTTTATTTTACGGCCTGGCGTGAGCTGCACTCGAAGATCGCGTGACTATTAAAAGAATGAGATTTTTTACATTCGATGCTCGCCCGCCCGCCCGCGCTCACCCAACTTTCTTGTACATATATGTGTGGCATATATAATGCACGAATTACTCGAGTTGCGATATATTCATGCTCTGCATAGGCCAGTTTACGTGAACATTCGCTTAATTTTGCCTCTTTGTGAAACAGCTTAATCATCGTTGAGCAAAGCTTTTTATTACAAAGAATGGCGAAAATAAAACAGAAAAAAGAAAAGGAAAATTACAAACACATCGCGAGTACGTATACGATTTAGAAAATACGTTTATGTACGTAAAAGCGAAGCTTGCAATTTTAATGCACGACGATTTTCTCGTTTCTCTCGCTACATATACGTGCCGTGCGGAAAAAGGGACATATCGCGTGCACGCAAAGAGAACATCAGGCTCTGCGCATGCATCCTTGGCTTTCGAGCACTCTACCTGCAGCTCAACAACAACAACAACAACGGCGCACAAGCTGCGATTTTGTTGTCGCTCGGCGCGCGCGCGCGCAGAGACTATTATCGACTCTATATACATAGTTCACACACACACACACACACACACACAAACAGAAACAGCTATTGCATCCGCCACGATGAGAGCGGCAATTCCTATGCACGCGTTTATACACACATATACATACCTTTCCACGGCCTCGATTATATACGCGATATACTTGGACGTCCTTCCTTCGGCTGCGCGTCTCGCGTGCAAGCTGATAATTTTCAACTGCTGCACTGCGCGAGTGTAAAAGAGTGAAAAGTGCCTGCGATTCAGAGCGAAGGAAGGAAAAAGAAAAAAAAAAAATAAAAGCCACGATCGACGTCGACTTGTCGGTATTTTTCCCGCGCGCGGCTACGATATTTTCCCGTTCTCGCTTCTAAAAAGCGACTCGAGAAAGAAAGGCAGAGCGGAGAGGCGCAATTTCACGTGTACGTACGTAGCGACGCTCCGATTGCGTAATTGAACTTTCGTCGTGCTAATAATCGTTCGTTATGCATATCCTCCGCACACACACACACACACGTATTTTAATATACAAGGCCATTTCCGGAAGCAAAGAACCACAGGTGTGTGCTTACATACGCGTGCATCACGCGCAATTTCATTCGCAAATTTCAACTTTTGCCCGTACGTATTAAACGTCTTCGATTGAGTAATTTTGCGACTGCTGTACAAAAAAAAAACAGCCGCGCGTAATAATGCACTTTCTTCGCTCATTGTTCCTCTATTATCCCTTACGCAATTTATTCGCGACCGGGTATAATTTTTGAGCGTATCGGACGAGCCTCTGGCTGGCATGAAACGCGTGCGAGCTGCGATACTTTTTTGTACGCTCGAGAGTGCGTATGCCTAGAAGGCAGAATCGAGCTCGCGCCTGCACGAATGCGTATTATACGCGATCGACGCGCTTTATATGCACTCGCGGACACGGATACAGTTAGCCTCGCGATAATGACAGACGCGTGCATCGCGTAATACATAACTCGACTATCGAGAATTTTCTGTGTCGGTTATCGCTAACGGCGATTCAATCGATTTCGATGGGAAATCGACGCTTTTATAAGTCAGGACTGTTGACAAAAGCACAGATTGCGTCAAAACCGTAATCGATTCAATATTAGTTGCGGGTGATTAATTTCTAAAAAAGGAAAATACACGCGGCAGCATCTGCGCGTCTCGCCATAAATTATATCATTCGACCTCGTAACCTCGTACAAGACCGCGCTCGCGATCGACGATTGACACATGGAGGCGCTACAGAGATGGATTCGTCGAAAAGCTCCTCGAAACGATCCGATGCTCTCGATCTATCCATCTACGAAGACTCGCGATCTCTCGGCTCTCTCGGCCTCTCCTAGGAAACACTCGATGCAGCCCGTGCAATATAATAATCCATTCTCAAGGCTCGCTGCTCGCTCGCGCCTCATGCACTTCCAGGAACGAAATGCGCTCCCTGGCTTTCGTTTCGCGAGCCGTCGTCAGCATATATATACACGAAAGAGATTTCGGTGTGTGGTCTCTTGACGCGCTCGAGAGAGAGAGAAAAGGAGAGCGCAAGAGAGGCTTCTCTCGGCACGCATCGGCTTATATATAAAATATACTTTGCAGCGTAGGTGTTTCAGGGCTCCTCTCGGCTCTCTCGAATACATATATGCGAGCTATAAGCCTTATACCTGTATCGGATTATGCGTAATTCCTTTTTCTCTTTCCTTCTCTCTCTCTCACTTCGTCCCTTTCTTTTCGACACACGTTTGAGCTTCAAATCGCACACACACACAGAGCGCGTATATATTTTTTTATTTCGTCAGCTACAATAACTCGATGGAAAACGTCTGTTTGTTTAAGTCGAGAAAAGAACTCGTTTATCATAAGGCGCTTTCGTATTTTTTTCTCTCTCGCGAATCTCCGTCTTTTTTTCTACTCAGCGTTGATTTTGCAATAGCTTCGAGGGCCTTGCGTAATTGTTGAAGCGATGATTAATGTTCCTCGCACTTCCGAGTGTCTGCTCGCCGCCTGATCTGCTCATTATATACTGCACACCTCATGCAACAATAAAGCGAGCGTATGCCGTATGAAAACAAGCATTAATTGAAACACCAGATCGCGCAGCAGCTTAATCTATTTTCCTGAAACAGGCTCGTGAGTTGACGGTCTAACGCCTCGCGAGATGCGCACGACGACGAGAGAAAGAGAAAAGAAGATGAAAGAAAAGACGAGGCGCGCATTGTACACTACTCGCTTCGGGGATTAATCGGGACCCACGCAGCAGCGGCATGTTACATCGAGTTACATATTACGGCACGCATATAATAAGCAGTGCAGGCCACACGTATTTCTACTCAAAAGCGTGAAACGAGACGAAATTGTTCTTCTTTTCTCTTTATTTTTATTTTATTTTTATGATTATTATTTCTCGCTCTCTTTCGTCGAGAAAAATACTCGAGGCTTTTTTTCTTCTTTAAAACTATATAATACATATGTATGTATGAACGCGTGTGCATGCGAGTGCAGAAAGCAGCAGCAGTGCAGCAACACACACACACACACACACGCAGACACATCGTAACTACAGGGCAGGAAGAGTATCGCGTTACGCGGCTGCACGCGCGCGAGCTGAGCTCCGGCGAGCGGTGCATATATAATATTTGTTCGCTTTCAGCTTCATCGCTCGAGCGCGAGAAGCCAAGTTGCTATTGTAGCTCGCGGGGTGGTCGCGCCGATTAAAAGGCGCGAGGCCAGCTTTCGTGTACATCCTCACCTTCTTTTTCTCTTCGCAGCGAAACTCACCTACTCATATTTCTCAAAATTACACTCTTCCATATCGATATACTCAAAGTCGTTGCTTTTGTTTTTGTGCTTGCAGGGACCCGATGGAGCTGATGGAGCAGCAGTTGGTGCGCTGCGGCGTGCCCCCGGTGCGGCTGTACGAGCAGCTGGCCATGGCCTCGGCGGCGCAGGGGCCTCCGTCGCACCATCACTCGAGCCAGTCGTCTCCGCACCACCATCCGCACCACCAGCATCACCAGCCGCCGTCGTGGCTGGCCGCGGCGGCCGCGGCAGCGACGCAATCATCGACCGCCGCTCTGCTGCAGTACGCGAACGTGCGAGCCGCCGCCGCGGCCGTGGCCGTCTCGGCCGGCAACGGCAGCGCCAATGGAGGTGGCGGCGCTGGCGGCGGCGCAGGCGGGGGGGCGAGCCCCTTCCCGGGCTACACTCCCTACCCCAGCCAGCCGGGCTCCACTTGGACGTCCTGGCAACAGCTGCAGGTCGCGCGCGGCGCCTCATCGCCGCCCTCGGCGAGATTCGCGCCCTACCACACGCCCACGTCGACGTCACCTAGCGCCAGTCCGATACCGCTGCGGCTCTCGCACCCCCGCACCTCGGTCAGCCCCAATTAATCGCTGCGATCCTAGGCTGCTTCTATACTTGTACTGACGACTCGCACTTAGCGCTTGTGAATCCCTTTTTTTTTGGGCTTTTCATTACCCGTGTTTTTATCGTAAACTCAAAGAAGCTCCGTTGCATCTACGCGTGAAGGTAATGCAACGAGGATAGCGTTGTTTCGCGCGGACGAGTAAATACAGTCAAATTTGTATATACCAAGATTAAAGGGACCGGAAAGATCTGCTCGTTACGTACGAGTCTCGTTAAAACCGAAAAATCTCACATATATTACTTAACGTAGAAATTAACCAACCAAATGTTTCCGATTTGCTCGTTGTAACTGAGCTCTCGTATGCAAGCTCGCTATTAAACGAGTTTTAAGCTATAAACGATTACTGATCTCGTGCTGCTACTCGCAATTCTATAAAACGGATTAACCAAGCCAAAGACTATAATGGAGTGCAGGCGTGGTTAACGATAATATTTATTCGCCAAGGCATTATATAGATATTATAAAATGTATGTGCGACGAGAGGTGCGAATCGTTTTCGCCTCCTTACCCATGCATAGAAAATTTAGTTCGAGACATAGGTCGATTCTCTTGAAATTTCTCGAACGCCCGATTTACACATCGTACATGCGACGATTATATTTATACAATTTATGTTATTACAACAACAGAAAAACATGAAGGATAAATAAATGAAAGCGATCACCAAGAAACTATGTTAATATAGATGTGTGTACGTATGAGTGCGTGTGTATGAGCCGAGGCCTACGAAAGCCCGTGTATATCTGTGTGGCGTGGTAGGATAATCTCAAGTGTTTTTCAACGAAGCTTTAAAATAAACTCGACGACGCGACGAAAGCCAAATTACCTCGACTCATAGAGTGATTCTTTTTTCGTCTCTCATTATTATTCGTCGATGTTTGTATGAGTAGTGAACTCACTCTCTTGTTTAAGTGCAGAGATTTTTTCAGTCGCTCCTAAAAGAAATTAGCGTTCTGAGCTTTGCACGCGCAGGCTGTTGAATTTTTGTTATTTGTTAAGGTCAACAAGTTGTATAATGTTTTTTTTCTTTTTTTTTTCATTGCTTTCATCATTGTATATAATTTTCGTCGTTGAGAGTAACATTTGTATAATATAAATAATCGCGTTAAGTAGATCGATGTGTTTTTTTATAAAAATGATACTATAATTAAAGTATCGTATCATTTTATGATTAGTTCATAAGTTTTAAACAACTCCTGTGTACATCGTGTACCAAGAAATCAATTGAGTCAAAGGCATCCCAGTTGACTAAAATTACTGAAGGGACTCACAGAAATGTCTCTTCATCTCCGGTTCACGGATAATTTCAAAAATTTTTTTGAGCTCCTCTAAAACCTGTTGATAAAACTCTCATGCTTAATTTAACCCATTAAGTCTTGAGGCCTATTTTTTAAATAATTTTCTTTTTTCCATCATTCACTAGATGATTTCGAATTATCTCATTTTTTCTAAAGTCGTTCTTTTTAAAAATAAAACATCGCAAAGATTTTTAGTAAAAAAGAAAACTATTTTTAAAATTCGTCTTCGTTGAATATTTGGTCAAACTAAGCATTGAGGCTTCATTGTTGCGTATCAGGAGAATTCAAAAAATATTTGATTCGGATCTGGGACTCGAAGCTGGTAAGGTCTACTTGGCAGTTAATTTCAACGCGGGTCTGTTTACTAACAGAATATAGTGAGTTTTCTTAGACAAAAATTTTGTGATAGTATGTACCATACCGTAATAGTATTATTATTCATCTTTTTTCGAACTAAAAAGTTTACACGGATAAGAGATGGTAATTGTAAATATTATGATAATCGTTGCTAATATTTAACTATATGTGTTACGTAACATTAATCGTCCTCGAATGCGAATTATATATCAAATAAAGTCGTTTAGTTTGTAGCAATCTATACAAATAAAAATAAATAAAATTATATCACTATCTGTGGATGTATATAGCAACCAGAAATTAAATAAATGGATTTTCATCAAAATAAAAATTACACATGTTTTCGTTGTCTACTATACCCTGTACCCTCTAAGTTTAACTATGTATTTAATCGAATCATCATCGGCGTTCATTTGATTTCACTAGAAAACGCGTACGCCACGCGCAAGGAACTATTATCAGTATGAAAATTAACATGACATTTTAAAAATTTAATGCTCCTACATGAAGTGTTCTCTGAGAAGGTTCAATTCTTTATATATAGCCTGAAGCGAGCCTAAAATAATAAAAACATTCCAATTGAGAGTCTGATAAAGTAGTTGTAAATTACTAAATATGAACATTATTCGAGTTTCACGTACGTAAAATATTTTTGAAAGTATTTATTGAAAAGTAATGAGGTATGTACGGTTGCTTTTTGAAGTCTTTGAAAAAATGTCATAACTAAAAGTTTGATAGTACACTAATAAAATCGGCACGAATTAATTCGGTAATCATGAGCATTACACTACCTACATCGTCACGATGCCTGTCCCTCAAATTCTACAACTATTACCAAGCTGGAGATCTGGGCACGTGCTCCAAGTTAAATTCACCGCAAAGGCGAGCGAGAGATACGCATATACTTATGATATACATGGCATGGCAAAGCTTTGCAACGTCAATTTCCGACGGGTCATTAGCTTTCAAGATATAACCTCGTTTTTCTTGATACGTTTTGTTACTGTACGGCTCTGTTGTTGTTGCTGCTTGTGGTTTCAGTTATATATAGCCAGACACACTCACAGATATACACATGCAACGAAGCAGAGGATCATCCACGCGTCGACGCGAATTATTTAATGTATGTACAGCTCTACATTGCCTACATATGCGTTGGGGCCCGCGCGCATTTCAATTGAAAAGGATTGACGTCGGCAGTGGCGGCGGCGGCATGCGGTTAAAGCGCCCGACGCTCGCACAAGGAACTGCGCGGCGAATAATTACGTTTTTTTATGATGTCTGTGATTTAAAGGTAACATACACGCGTGCGTACCGCAAGCTATTCATGCGCGTGATACGATGATTCGCTCGTGATTTATCGTATATAGTTTCGCGTATGGGCTCCCATAGCGCGAGATCTCATGATCCCTTCGAGCTGCGACTGGTACCGAGTGTTGATGTATTTAGTCTCGTCCGAATTTCCTTCTTATATTTATATTTGCGTGCATTAACCCGATGCATTATTCCGCTCGATTACGCAAGGATTTTTTTTCTTCTCTTTCGTCCATCGACACGAGCGATTACGCGATAGCTTGGAAATAAAGAAGAAACGACGAAAAAAGAAACATAGGCCGGATACTCGGCCTCGGCTGGAGCTGAAATATTAAAAATATTGAAATAAAAACAGAATAACGTGTTCGCAAGGTGAGGACGGAGAAATTGGAAGTTAATCTCTTTCCGGCACGACTCGATGATTTTCTGAACGACGTCTCTTTTGTCGATCTAACACAAGCTCATTGGCTCGTCAATACGCTGTGAGAGGCTGCGATGATGCGAGGGTGTTGAGAGAGCTAGAAGTCTAAGCTTCTCGCGCGCACTGATTGAAGATTAAAGGGCCTTAATTATGTAAAACGAGCGTCAAAGTCGGCGAGATACTTTTATATTCCATTAAGCTTTAAAGTGCAAATGTCTGATAATACGTCGCGCAAATCTCTGAATTAATTCGATTATGTCTATGTATGATGCTTTCGCGTGTATATGGGTGGTAATTAGCCGGTCTGTCTGATCGAACCAATTCATGAAAGGATCGATTTTATGATTCAACAGAATGAGCTTCAACCACGCGAGGCTATCTCAAATTTATTAACTTGGATTTATATTGAAAGTTGAAGGTGGCACGCGACAATTTTATTTCAAAATATCATGCAATAATCGAAAATTGGAAGCAACGGCACAATTGAAACTCGTCAGGCTCAGCTCAAATAAAATTATATAGCTTTGCCAAATTAAAAATTTATTGAATATACTTGTAAGTGATATACATTTTGGAAATAGTGTTATTCTTTTCAAAGAAATGTCTCCCTTGCATTATCCACATTTGAAGCCAACTCTACATTACGTCGAATTAATAATGAGCAATCGTACATTCATACGTGCCCTCGTGTACATATACATATGTGATTCGGAGCATGTCTAATCAATCTAGCTCGAGCATAGACAAGCGAGCAAATGAGGGAGGACGTTAATATACGGACTAAATTAATGCGGCGTTTATCATTCATAGTCGATCGTCTAGGTATCGATTTATAGCCTATGGCTATAACAGTCTTCGTCGTCGTCGTATGAGAGGATCGAGGTGCAAATTTCGCTTAGCGCGTATATAATTTTCGCGCAAAAATTGTCCGAATTTCTCCGAGCCGCCAGGATATTATAGTTCCCAAAGCTTCGACGGAATGTATTTAGAAATCTTTAGAAAATGATCGCGCCGAAGTGTTATACATGTGTTACAGCGCGATCCCCGAAAAAGTCGTACCTATCATCATATCGAATCGAGAAAAAAATTGGACCCGGTCCGCTGCAGCAGCGTTCGAAAAACAAAAAGTACGCGAAGAAAAGAAGTAAAGCGTCGTTGCCCTAGCGTATCCCTGAGCCCAGCTCGACTCCCACTGCAAATTTTCTCACCAGTGAATTGCTCCGCATTTAAAACAAAAGACCATCACTTATGTGCCCCTATTAAGAAATCTTCTCTCGCGCTCGCTCTCTCCCTCCGGTTTCATGCATCTTATATAGAGGCAGGTATAGGTATAGGTGTAGCACAACATACGCTTCAACGCCGGCATGCTTCAAAAGAAATCGTCTTTTCTTCTTATTCTTTCTACATATACTATATGCGGGCTCGCTGTCCCTTCCCTATGCACTTTGCGCGCAGGGCCGCGCGTATCATCATCATCACCATCATCATCATCGTCGTCGTCGTCGTCGTCGTGGTGTATGGTACGAAAGTGGGGTGTTACCCCCCCAACACGCTCACTCACACGGATACGTTATATCGACTGTAGGTGTATGCACGCGGGTATTCGATCTCCGCTCGTGTATATAGCACATATAGCACTTACACACTTACGCGCGTGCAGCTTTTCGCGCTTACAGCCGATACATAATATAACGCGCGCACGCAATCGGCGGCTTGTGGCGGCTTCCGCGGCTTGTAATTATGTTGATACGAATGATCTGCTACGGCGAGCGAGTGAGAGAACCGCCGTGAGCGCCTCCAGCAGTACTCACTGAAATGCGCGCGCGCCCGAGCTCCGCAGCCAAGAGGATCCGACGAGCAGCTCGGCTCCTTTTTTGTCCCTTTTTTTCCTTCAACTTCTTCTTATATACTCCACGCCTGTACTACACGTATATATATATATATGAACGGCAACGTTTCGGGCAGCGTGGCGAAACCAGTTTAAGTGCACATGTAATTGATTTCCATTTTACGAGGACGCGTACGCCGCTGCCGACGCCGACGACGACGACGACGACCTGTCCCGCGCTATACGCGTGAATGGGTTCTTTCTTTCTCCGACACCGATGTGCAGTTGCAGTCTCTGCGAGCGACGAGCAGAGTTACATGTGCGTTACACACACGATATCTCATGCATAGCATGCCCCTCTCTCGCTCTCGCTCACGCCTTTTTTACTCTTTATTCTTTCCGCAAGCGCGAACGAGCCGAGACGTATTACGGTCTTATAATGGGACGTGCGTAAGCTCCTTTGGGTGTAGTCTCGTCCAAGGGAATGCGTACGAGCAGCAACCTCTTACCGACCTACCGATATATAGCCGAGGCTTTTATACAAATTATTGCATAGCTAAAGGACTGGGACGAGCTGAGCGCGTCAAAGCCCGATAAATCATAACATATTAAATGCGGCCACGCACACGACCGAGGAATGCCTCCCGGAGCTGCTGGCCTCAGCCTGACCGACAGAACCGACTGATTTATTTCTGGCAGGTGAAAATGTACTTTCCTCGAGATCGACGCACTCGAGCGACGACGCGCTCTAGTCGATTAAATACGCACTCGAATGTACTTATGCCTTTCGAATCGAGAAAATCCGATTGTGCTCTGCGTGGGATCGTGCCAAAGAT